TTAATTTAATCTGCATTTCCTGATTACTAATAAGTTTGAGCATTTGGGTTTCTTTATCTGAGAATGGCTTATTCTTGTTCTTGGCCCATTTTCTATTGGATCACTAATTTTTTTCCTACTAATTTATAAGAATTTCTAATATTTTCTAGATATCAAGCCTTTGTCAGTTATATTTTTTGTAAAGATATTTTCTCCTTATCTAGACTTACACTTTAAAGTCTTCACAAAATCTTTTTAGCTTTTTTACCCCCTTTTTCTTCCTTTTTTAAAAAAAGATGTCTTGTGTGTCTTCAGTTTTAATGTTATATTTAACAATTTTTTCCCTTTATTGTTAGGTGTTTGTAAGTATTGATAATATATTAAGGATAGATCTTCTCTTATTTAGCTTCAAAATTGTCTTATCTCTTCTTGATCTTTTTAAAAAGCTCTCACATGTTAATTTTAAGATGAGATTGTTTTGTTTCTGGGAAGAGCCCTGTTGAGATTTTATTGGAAATCTATTGAATTTATAGACCAATTTAGAAACATCTAAAATCTTTCTGCATACCAAATTATCTCATTTCTGAACATGATATATTTCTAAGTTTACTTGGTCGTCTTTCATGTCTTTCAATTAAGTTCTGTCATTTTTTTTTTGTAAAATCATTTTATATCTTTTGTTAGGTATACTCCAGGTGCCTTATAATTGTTACAACTGTAAGTTTATCTTTCAAAAATTACATCTTCTAATTAATTGCTGGTGTTTAGGGACTTCACTGACCTTTCTATACCATTTTTAAATCCAGCAACTTTTGTTTGTTCATTTGTATTTTCCATTGGATTTTCTGTGTATAGAGTCATCATTGGCAAATAATAATTTTATTACTTCTCATCTTCATCCTTTTTTTTTTAATGTTTTAATGCACTGCTTAAAAATTCTACGGTAGTGTTAAGTAGAAATGATAAAAGCATTTTTCCTGGCTTTAAATGGAATACTTTTATATTTCATCATTAAGTATGAAATTTACTACAGGATATTGGTAGATAAACTTTAATCAGTTTAATATCTCTTCTTTTTGTATTTATTTGCTAAGAAGTTTGGGTTTTTTTAAATCATGAATGGGTATTAAGTTTTACCAAATGTTCTTTTCTGAATTGAATGTATCTAATGTTAAACTTCCTTGACAACCCTTCTTTGTCATATGCAATGTATTTTTTTTAAGCATTGCTATATCTACTTTGCTAATATTTTGTTTAAAATTTTAACTTTCCTTTTAAGTAACTGAAGAAGATCCATACTTTGACCCCATTAAATGAGTTGTGGAGTTTTCCTTCTTTTTCAACTCTCTTTTCAAAAATTTTCATTAGATTGATATAATCTATTTCTTGGTGATTTGATAGATCTCGTCTGTAAAACTGTCCAGACTTACATAGTTTTTTTTTTTTGTGGGTTGATTTTATATGGGAGAGTGAGAGATAAAGGGGGGTGGATTTTAAACTACTAGTTCAACTTCCAGAATTGTTATAGGCCTACTCACGCTTTCTATTTCTGTTTGAATCAGAGTTTATATCCTGTTTTTCCTAAGAAACAATCCATTTTATCTGATTTTTCCATATTTTTGGCTTGAAGTTGTCCATAGTATTACTTTAACATGCCTTTTTTACCTTTGGCATTTCCCTTTATATTTCTAACATAATTTATTTATGCCTTCTCTGTACTTTGTTTTTATCATTCTTGCCAATCTTGCCTATTTTGTTACTAGTTTTAGAGAACCAGCTTTTGCTTTCACTGGTTCTCTGAATTTCTTTTGTTTTGTGATGAGCTATTTTTATAGTTTTTTGGTTTATTCTGTAAACACTCTTTATTATTTCAGCTATGTCCTAAGATGTGTTAAAAAATATTTCTTCCTGAAGCTTCTAACTCTCCTTTAATAGCTGTTGAAAGCACTTAGTGTTAAGTCTAAATATTAGAAGCAGAAAAATAGAACTGTTTCCAATTAGCTCTCTTGTAACTGCTTGCTGTATTTTACTGTGTGGTCTTTTTTCCCTACTATGTGCTTTTCATTTTCTCCCTCTCCCTTAGATTAGATTATAATACAAGATTCATTTTATCTTTTGTTCTTGAAACTATTCAGTCCCTCTTACATTAGACCTTCTGTAAAAGTCACATGTTGAAAGACATTTTTAAATAATGAGTTTAAAGATTTTGAGAAATATTAAATTAATATAAAAGTAGTTTATTTGTAATTTTTAAAGCATTTTATTTGTATTCTTTAAAGAATAAAGAATTTTATTATTCAAATAAAACCGTTTTTCTTTTCCTTTTATAAATGTTAACATGCAGTGATTCTTATCTGAGTAATATAACTGTCTGTACAAACTATGTAGGACTGAGAGGCTAAAGAGATTGTAAATCTTCAGTAATTCATAGTTGCAGGGCTTTTTTCTAATTACTCTGTGTAACTGATTAGGTATTCCTGTGGCTTTTATTAAGTTTTATTATGTTTTTATTTAATATATATCACCACATTTCAGAATTTTAAACAGGTTTACATTGTAATATTCCTAATTTACACAAATCCTAAACAATTTCAGATCTAGGCCATCTTCTTTAATGCTTTTGTATTCTTTGTCCTCTTAAGGTCATACTAGACACAAAGTGGAGGAAGCTCTTATTAATGAAGAAGCAATTTTGAACCTCATGGAAAATAGTCAGACTTTTCAGCCTTTGACCCAAAGACTGAGTGAGTCACCAGTCTTCTGTAAGTAACAATTCTATCATAAATTCTCAGTATTTTAAATCATCAAAAGTGCGCATGTCAAGAGTATTTTTTCTTTGATTTGAAGAGGTTAATGTTGCGTGTTCAGTAAATTCATACTCAATGTAAAAATGAAATCTGTATTAAGTGAAGTAGTAGCTTGTTTTTTGTTTGTTTATTTCTACACAGTTTTCTCTAAAAAACAGTTGTGGAAGAAAATAATTCTCTTTTTTTTAACTTCACTTTAGTTGGAAGAGAACTATATTGCTTTAAGGGGAAAATGTGCTTATTTTGAATTAAAATTCTCCTAAGTTAAGTACGTTAATAAAATACCATAATTGATTCTTCCTTGGTAAGTATCAGAAATTTCCTTGGACAATTCTGACAATTCTTTTCAAGCCATTAATTTTTGGCTAGTGTAGAACATGACCGTTATTTCTGAGTATCTTTTCATCTTCCTAAATGCATTTTCATTAGCATCATGAGCCATTTGCTAGATTTCATGTCAATAATTTAGTCTAAATTACTGACATCTTTTTCAGAAATTTATTTAAATTTTTGTTGCAAGAAGTGAGCTATCATTGAACTTCATGTATCTTGTTTTGCTTGGTATAGTGATTTTATATTTCTTTCCTCTCTCACTTTCTATTTTCCATTCTTGTATCAAATGAGGTATAGCATCAAATGTGATTCTATTTCTTTACAATGTCCTCTCTTTGTTATCTACATTTTTATCTGAGTGGAATATGAATTGAATGACTAGATACAACACCAAAATTACTCTACATAGTCATATTTCAAGAGCATTTTGTACAGAGGTGGGAAACTTTTTTTCTTTTTTAAATGAATGACATATGTGGAAAGAAATGATCCAAAGACCACATTTAAAAATTAACTTGAAGCTTATAACCTAAAATGTTTTATTTCTCTATCTGAATAAATAAATATGTATATACCTAAATTATATTCTAGTTGTTAAAAGAAAGATTAAAAAAGAGAAACATACAAAGAGAAATTGAAAAAGAGGGAGAGACATAACCTTATTTCATTACATTAGACAAATGTAATGTATCATTAGCAGATATAATTCTATCTTGCCTAAGGTTGCAGAAATGCAATTTCAATGTTAATCAGAGATCTGAGAGTCAAATATCTATAATTCATTTGCTGATATTAACCTTTATTGAAAATATGAGGCAGGAAAAATAAAACAAACTGCAATTATAGGTTTAAGAAATGGATTTTTGCCAAAATGGATCTTGTAAGCAAATATTTTCAATTTTGCCGTACATTTGGTAGCATGATTGAAGCAGTTTCTTTAATGTCAACAAAGAAAACCTGAAACTTGACATTTTAGTAAATGGGGAATGTATTATCTCACTTTACTGAGAAAAAGGTTGTGTACTAGATTAGAACAAACCTCCATCTTTATGATCTATTTTTAAATAATAGCTTTTATTGAGATATAATTCACATACCATAAAATTCACCTTCTACTGTGTACAGTCCAGTGATTTTTTAAGCATTTCATGTAGTTATGCAGTTATTTCCACTCTCTAATTCCAGGACATTTTTATCACCCTAAAGAGAAACCCCACACCCATTTGTAGTCACTTCCCATTTTTCCCTCCTCTCACACTTTGGCAGCCTCTACTCTGTTTACTCTTTTGCTGGGTTTACCTGTTTTAGGCATTTAGAATACATAAAATTATATAACCTTGTTTCTGTATTCTTTCACTTAGCATAGTGTTTTCAGGGCTCATTCATGTTGAGACATATATCAATACTTCATTCCTTTTTTACTACTGAATAATATAGTATCATATGGATATATACCATATTTCATTTATCCATTCTTCAGTTGATGGACATTTGGTTTGTTTTTTGGCTATTGTGAATAATGCTGCTATGATTATTCATGTATAGGTTTTTGTGTGGACATGTTTTCACCTCTCTTGGGTGTATACCTAGGACTGGAATTGCTGGTTCATATGGTAACTCTATGTTTAACGTTTTGAGGAACTGTCAACTTTTTTTCCCAAAGCAGCTGCACCATTGTACAGTCTGACCAGCAATTCTGAGGGCTACAATTTCTTCACAGCCTTATCAACACTTGTTATTATCTGTCTTTGATTTTAGCAACCCTAGTGCATATGAAATGGTATCTCAGTGTGGTCTTTGAGGTTTTTAAGTAATGTTATTAACTACTTTTAAAGCTCCCTTGTGTTTTGCAACTACAGGTTTTGTTTAACTATCCTGTGAGCTAATAAAGCTTAAGTGAGGAATAAGGTGATTACATGTATCATTTTTAATTTGTATTAATTCATATAATGAATTCATAATTATATATTTTGTATTTATTTTTTACACTTGTGATCATATTTGGTTTAGTGCTCCTCAAGCTTACTTGTGTAGTAAGAACTTGAGCAGCTTGTTAACATGCAAATCCCTGGGCCCTACCTCAGAAATTCTAATTCACTAGATGTAGGATGGTACCTGGGCGTTTTCTTTTTAGTAAGAACACAAAATTATTCTAACACAGTGGTTCAAGGATCACACTTTGATGGAAGAGCTACATCAACACATAAGTCTTTACACTAGCTGTATTCTTGCAGTGTGTGCCAACATCTGTTATTTTTGTTGTTTTATATATGATTGATCTGAATTGTTGAATTGTTTAGAAATTTAAAGTTATTTGTTCGTGGTTCTTCACTTGTTTTATAGTGGACAGTAGTCCTGATGAGACTGTGGTACATCTTCTTGCTGGTTTGGAAAATGACGGATATCAGGGGGAAAGAAATAGGATGCCACCACCATGTCGTTCCTTTGGAAACAATAAAAATCCTCAAAATAGTGATGATGAAGAAAATGAACCACAGATTGAAAAAGAAGAGATGGAGCTTAGTTTGGTGATGTCTCAGAGATGGGACAGCAATATTGAAGAACATTGTGCCAAAAAGAGGTAACTTTTTAATTAGTTCAGTTACTTTAATAACTTCCTTTTGTCATCAGTTAAATCAGAAATTATTTCTTACTATTATTCATAATAAAAAATACCTTATAAACTAAATTGACTTCTTTTAAATCTCTTTTAAATAGTGCTTTGCTTCTTGTGGCATAAATTTCATATTCCAAGCAGATTAACTTTTGGTACATTTAAAAAGATTAAACTTAACTTCATTTTTTTTTCCAGTATCATTGAGATATAATTGACATACATCACTATATGAATTTTAGATGTATAGCATAAAGGTTTGATTTACATATATTGTGAAATGATTACCACAGTGAGTTTAGCCAACATCCATTATGTTATATAGATACAATACAAAGAAATGGGGAAAGTTTTTTTGTGTATGATGAGAACTCTTAATTTTCATGTGTATCATATAGCAGTGGTGACTCTCGTCACCATGTTGTACATTATATCCCTAGTACTTATTTATCTTGTAACTGGAGGTTGTTTGTACTTTTGACCACCTTACTACAGTTTCCACTCTCCCCACAAACCTAACTTAGAAATCATCTATTTACATATATAGTATTAATTTGTGGGTTATAAATGGGGCAAAAGTAGAAGTGCCTCCTTATTGCAGAACTTGAGGGAAAAGAATGCCCTTTTAAGAGTTAAACTGTTATGGGTCAGAGCAACAAATACAGAGTCAGTTTCAAGACAGGGAATAGCTTCTAGGTCTGATTAGATTGAAGGAATTAAACATTAATGAATGTCAGAAGTAGACACTGATATTCTGTTCATTTCTCGAGGTAAATAAATAAGATGGCGGTGTGCTTTTCTAAATCAGTTGCTTGTGAATTTAATTGGTTTGAGTCTGCCCCTGAGCTGTATGTTCTGTGTATAGATGTATTAAACCTCTGAGCTTAAAACACTGAGCGTGCCTCTCCTTTAAACTTCTGTAGGCAATACTGAAATTTCTAAAGTCTGTTTTTTGAAAGGTGAATGAGGTTAATCTACATGTTATATTTACATACATATATATTACATATATACTAAATATATATATATTTATAGTATTTATAATATATATATATAGTATTTTTCTAGTTTTTCAACATTACCTAATATAAAAAATAAAATTTCTGATTCCTTCTCCTCTTATCTGGGTACATATCAGAACCCTCTCTTCTATATTCTCATGGTATGCTCCTATAAAGAATTGCTTTTTTTTATTCTGAATAGAAAATTCCAAACCTGCAAAATACTACTTCATACTTCCTTCCTAATTTCACATACTCAGTTCCCTTTGCTGTCACAGTGATAAATTGTTCAAAGACTCAGCTCCTTGACCTTTGAAGAACCTAATTTTACCTAGGCCAGACAGAATCAGTGTTCGATTTCCTGATAGATTTGACCTTCAGCAGTGTCATAAAAATGCCATTTGCTGGTATTTCCTAATCTGTTGGAAAAAAAAAATGAGGTGAAAGACATAAAAATTTTTTGTGTAGCTATTCTATAAATTTTTTGTCAACTCTTTTTGTATAAACTTTATAAATATTTAAATGAAATATCCTGTTGGGAAATGCTTCAACCACATCAACCTCTTTTGGAGTATAAGCAATCCTAAACGTTAATAGTGCTATAAAAGGCTTTGTTCTTGTTTCTCTGTTCGTTATCTCTGTAATGACACCACTTTCCCTTTAACTTCTTATAACTTCAATGTCACATTTAACTTGCCGTCTTTTACACCCCTATCTGTTGTTAAGCCTTTCTAGTTTAGGCCTTCATTATCGTTTATCTGGAATTCTGTGATTCACTTTTTAACTAGTCTCCTTTCTTCCAGTTCTGCTCCCATATAATAGGGCTGATTAATTATTAAATAAACACTTTGTAGGCGCTTAAAAAGGGAAGCAGAGACTATCAAGACCCTGCATGAGTTCATATCATGCTCTGCTGTCTTAATATCCTTTTTAAATATGGTTACTTAAGGAAATATAATAATCATATTGAATCTTTGTTTCAGCCTGACATTTAACAAAGTGTTACATAAAACATCCTTGTGAATAGGGAGGAGATGTGGTAGTAATGACTGATGAGATGGGTTTACAGAGAATTTACATGATTTTGCATTCAAAAACAACTTAAATGCTTGTTTGGTGCCATATTTCATACTTGATTGAATTGAAAGTGTCACAAACATTGAATACTGGTAATTCACTAGATGACAGAATCTAGATTCAAAATATCTTGAAACTAAATAGGTGACGCCTAAGAAAGTATAAAGTCACAGGTTTAGGATTAATCAGTCAGCTTCACAGTTATAGACTAGACAGACCTATGATTTATTCGGGACTTAACAATTTCTGTGGGATACCCATGGATTTTACTTTATAAAGAATGCAATAAATCTGTAGTATGGTTGCCAAAATAGTAAATTTAATTATTGGCTACCAGCTGTATCTGGGGTAGCATTTATTAGATTTTGTTAATAAAATAATTACAGTATTTATTTGATGTATTTAAGTCTTGCTGTAATATGTTGTATTGCTTCTTTTATATTTTAGGAAAATTTATCAACTGTTTGATATTTCTACTTGATTGGTCATATAGCATTTTACTTTTTCTTATTTCCAGTTGTGTTTTTTTTCTTCATTTTTCTTTCATTGTTTTATTTTGGTATTGTCCCTTTGATTTTACCTTCAACCTACTATTAGCATTTCTTCTACAGTTTCTTAGATTATACCTGGGTTAGCTATTTATACTTTCATGCCCATAATAAATAGATAAACATTCAGATATATAAAATTCTTATAAAGTCACTGTCTCCTTGTTCCCAGTAAGGCCAGCTTATTTAAAATAAAAGAACTGGTTTATCCCATTATTAATTAATGCTTGTGGGTTCATTGATTGGACCAATTCTGTGAAAACCATGCCCAGATTAATTTTAGGAAAACCTGAATATTTCACAAATGTACATTAGAAATAATAGAAGTATAGTGTCTGAAAATGAAGACATTTAATTCTTCTTGTTTATTGGATGTTGTATTCTGAGTACCATATTTTAAGAATACAGAAAAAGGAAAGGAAAGGGAGAGAAGAGGAAAAAAACTAGAAGAATTTGTGAACACTGTCACTTCTAAAGAACAGTAGAAAGAACAGATAATGGTCTAATTAGAAAAATTATGGAACAAATGATAAATGCCTTCAAGTATTTTAAAGGTTATCATTTGGAAAATGGAATAGATTTGGTACATATGGCTACACAGGACAAAAGCAGGCATGAAAATTTTTGTGTAACATAGGAAGAAAATTACTAACAATTAGAGCCATTAACAACGGAAAAGATTACCATTTGAGACAGCAAGCCTCTTATACTAAGAATGTAAAAGAGATTGTGTGGGGTTTGTTAAGAAACTAAAAAATTTTTGTGTTGGGTAGAAGGCTGGACTAGATGACCTCTAATAACTCTTTTATCTCTTAAGAGAGTGATTTAAGGACAAATTGTGATTTGGGAATGGCTTAATGGAGAAACTGTTTCTTGTATAATAAAGAGATATTTTCAAATTTTTAAGACAAGAGAAAGAAAAATTAGGTATGGATAGAAAGTAAGCTTGCTCATCCCATAGAAGGGAAAGTATCAAGCTAGGATCTAGTGAAAAATTTAAATCTCTGTGAATTGAAATTTAAAGAGTATCCATTTGGACTTCACAATCCGTCTGAATTCCTCAGTGACCCTGCTTTATAGCCACTGCTGGGATTGACTCAACACCTTTGCTGCTTCCTAGCCTGTGTCTTATTCCCTTTTATTTTCTCTTTCAGCTCTGACCTAATACCCGCTTGCCTATCTCTTTGTTTGTTTTTTCCAATTCATAATGTAGTGATTGTGTATTTATGACACTTCTTAAAATATACCAGGACGCCACCTTTTAAGAAATTACCAGGTTCTCACCCAGGCTGTTATATGTGTATATCTAATGATAAGATGAAGGGGAGAATATAAGGAAGAACATAATTAGATATGGTAACTCAGGGTATTGTGGGGCTTTGAATACAGGAATGATGGTGTCTTCTAGCTCACATGAAAGTCTATTTACAGTAACTTTTGGTAGGACATGATACCAAAGCAGAGTAACTCTGCTTTTCTTTTTAAAGTTACAATTTTCAGATCTTTTAAATTCAGTTTTACTGTTACAGCATCAAATTATTTGAGTCTGACGTGCTCTTCTCCAATATTCATACTCATTAGCAAATCTAAATATTCTCTAGATCACTGTGCAGAAATACCCACAGAAGCTCAACAGAAGAAGATGATTCATCTTCAGAAGAAGAAATGGAATGGAGTAATAATAGCTTGCTTCTAGCCAATCTTTCTATACCTCAGTTAGATGGAACTGCAGATGAAAATAGTGGTGAGTAAACTAGTCTACTGTATTTCATTATTTAGGGGCTGAAAATATATTTGATTTTGAACCTATAATCATAGTTTCTCTGTATATAGTTGACTAAGTGAAGGCTGTGACAATATTGTTATGTTTTGTCCTCTAGGATTTTTTCTTTTGAGAGAATGTAGGTATATGATTTTTTGCTCATTTCTAAGAGGTTAATGTTTATTAACCACTGATTAAGAGTTTTGTAAACTTTAATTAGTTTAGCATCTTAACATTTAAGTAATGTAGGAAACTATAAGAAATATGCTCAGCTTATTTGAAGTGATAATGCAAAGAAGTATTTTACTTTATGGAAAACTTTCAAGGTGACAGTATTTTTTCCCTTATCCTCCCAAAAGTCACTGAATATTGATACCATCTATTTCTGATCAAAGGAATATGTGTTTGAAATAATGACTAATAATCAAATGTAACTAACTCTTGATTATTTAGATTGAAATATTATCCCAGTAATAGGAATGACCTTTTTGTTGAGATAGCTATTTTAAACATACAAATTTAATTAATTTCATATAATTTATTTCATAGTGATAGTATAATGATATGGGAAAATATTTTAAAAATTAAAAGAGTGAAAGTGAAGTAAATTTTTTTCCTCCATTTCAGACAATCCACTGAACAATGAAAATTCTAGAACCCACTCTTCTGTGATTGCAACAAGCAAGCTATCAGTAAAACCCTCCATCTTTCACAAAGATGCTGCTACATTAGAACCCCCATCTTCTGCTAAGATTACTTTTCAGTGTAAACACACAAGTGCCCTTTCTTCCCATGTTTTGAACAAGGAAGATTTAATTGAAGACCTTTCACAGCCAAACAACATAGAAAAAAATCTAGACCATTCAGTTGCTTCTTTTACAAATGAAAGTGCTTACTCTATGAAATACTCTGGATCTTTAAGCAGTACCACCCATTCAGAAAACTCTCATAAAGAAAGTAGTAAGAAAGATGTCCTCCCAGTATCTTCCTGTGAAAGTAGTATTTTTGATTATGAAGAAGATATTCCATCTGTTACAAGACAAGTACCAAGTAGAAAGTATACAAACATTAGAAAAATTGATAAGGATGCCCCTTTTATACATATGAACCGTCACACTAACGAAAATACATTGGGCAAAAATTCTTTCAACTTTTCTGACTTAAGTCATTCAAAAAGTAAATTATCCTCTGAAGGAAATGAAAAAGGAAACAGCACAGCTCTGAGTAATTTGTTCCCATCATCATTGACTGAAAATTGTGAATTGCTATCATGCTCAGGGGAGAATAGAACTATGGTGCATTCCCTTGACAGCATTGCTGATGAAAGTGGACTAAATAAACTTAAAATCAGATATGAAGAGTTTCAAGAACATAAAACAGAAAAACCAAGCCTCAGCCAGCAAGCAGCACACTATATGTTTTTTCCCAGTGTTGTTCTTTCTAATTGTCTCAGTAGGCCACAAAAGCTCTCTCCTGTCACATATAAACTGCAACCTAGCAATAAACAGTCTCGGTTAAAAATGAATAAAAAGAAGCTGATAGGTCATCAGGAGACTTCTACCAAAACTACTGAGACTGGATCCACAAAAGATAATTGTATACAAAATAATCCTTGTAATAGTAATCCTGAGAAGGATAATGTATTGACCAGTGATTTAATTAAGGTCACTCGTGGAGCTTTTGAAAATAAAACATCTACAGATAGTTTTGTAGACTGTCACTTTGGAGATGGAACTTTAGAAACTGAGCAGTCCTTTGGATTGTATGGAAATAAATACACGCTTAGAGCCAAACGCAAGGTAAATTATGAGACTGAAGATAGTGAGTCAAGTTTTGTAACACAGAACTCAAAAATTAGCCTACCTCATCCCATGGAAATTAGTGAAAGTTTAGATGGAACTCTCAAATCTCGAAAACGCAGAAAAATGTCTAAAAAGCTGCCCCCTGTCATCATAAAGTATATCATTATTAATAGATTTAGAGGGAGAAAAAATATGCTTGTGAAGCTAGGAAAAATAGACTCTAAAGAAAAACAAGTAATACTAACAGAGGAAAAAATGGAACTATATAAAAAGCTTGCACCTTTGAAAGATTTTTGGCCAAAAGTTCCTGACTCCCCTGCAACCAAATATCCCATTTATCCACTAACGCCAAAGAAAAGTCACAGAAGGAAATCAAAACATAAATCTGCTAAGAAAAAAACTGGTAAGCAACAAAGGACAAATAGTGAAAATATTAAAAGAACTTTGTCTTTCAGGAAAAAACGGTCACATGCTATCCTTTCTCCTCCCTCGCCATCTTACATTGCTGAAACCGAAGACTGTGACTTAAATTATAGTGATGTTATGTCTAAACTAGGTTTTCTTTCTGAGAGAAGCACAAGTCCTATAAACTCTTCTCCACCTCGCTGCTGGTCTCCCACAGATCCAAGAGCTGAAGAAATCATGGCTGCTACTGATAAAGAAACAGTGCTTTTTAAGGGTCCTAATGCATACAATAGCAAGACTGTTCACTCCCGTGTAGGAAAAAATAGTCGAGCAAAAGCGCAGGTTAAGAAATCAAGAACAAAGCTTGTTAATCCTTCTGTAGTTACTAAGAAAAGGAACAAACGAAATCAGACAAATAAACTAGCAGATGATGGAAAAAAGAAACCAAGAGCAAAACAGAAACAAAAAACAAATGAGAAAGGTACATCAAGAAAGCACATAACATTAAAAGATGAAAAACTAAAATCTCAGGCTGATGCTGAAGTTAAGTTTGTGCTGAAGCATCAGAATGTGTCTGAGACCTCAAATAGTTCTGGAGGTTCTCAGCTACTTTTTAAACAGAAAGGTGCATCACTAATGGGCTCTGCTATGGATCATCCCCTTTCTGCTTCCCTCCCCACTGGAATTCATGCACAACAGAATTTATCTGGCTGCTTTTCTTCTTTTCTAGAAAGCAAGAAGCCTGTAGATTTGCAAACATTCCCCAGTTCACGAGATGATTTGCATTCATCAGTCGTTTGTAGTTCTTTAGGACCTGGGATCTCAAAAATTAATGTTCAGCGGTCTCATAATCAAAATGCTATGTTTACTCTAAAGGAATCCACCTTGATTCAAAAAAATGTATTTGACCTTTCAAACCATTTGTCTCAGGTAGCACAGAATACACAAATGTCTTCTGGTATATTGTCTCCAAAGACAGAAGAGAACGCAAATATACAAAAAAACTATTTGTCGTCTATTGGAAAGTTAAATGAATACCGTAATTCCCTAGAATCAAAGCCAGACCAGACATATGCGCCTAATTTTTTGCATTGCAAAGACAGTCAGCAGCAGATTGTGTGCATGGCAGAACAATCAAAGCACAGTGAAACTTGTTCTCCGGGAAATGCAGCTTCAGAGGAAAGTCAGATGCCTAATAATTGCTTTGTAACTTCCTTAAGAAGCCCAATCAAACAAATAGCTTGGGAGCAAAAACAAAGGGGTTTTATTTTAGATATGTCAAATTTTAAACCTGAAAGGGTAAAACAAAGGTCATTGTCAGAAGCAATTTCACAAACCAAAGCACTTTCTCAGTGTAGAAATCAAAACATGTCAACACCTTCAGCATTTGGTGAAGGACAGTCTGGACTGGCAGTTCTAAAAGAATTGTTACAGAAAAGACAGCAGAAAGCACAAAATGCGACTAGTATGCAAGACCCATTATCTAATAAACAGCAACCAAACAAAACTGTTTCTGGTTCCCTTGAGCATAACAGAACAATTAAACGAACACGATCAGTAACATCTCCAAGAAAACCTCGAACTCCCAGAAGTACAAAACCTAAAGAAAAAATTCCCAAACTTCTTAAAGTAGACTCTGTAAATTTACAAAACTCTAGCCAGTTGGATAACTCCCTGTCAGATGATAGTCCTATCTTTTTTTCAGACCCAGGTTTTGAAAGTTGTTATTCACTTGAAGATAGCTTGTCTCCTGAACATAACTATAATTTTGATATTAATACAATAGGTCAAACTGGATTCTGTAGCTTTTATTCTGGAAGTCAGTTTGTCCCAGCTGACCAGAATTTGCCTCAGAAGTTCCTAAGTGATGCAGTTCAGGATCTTTTCCCCGGACAAACTATAGAAAAAACTGAATTTTTAAGTCATGAGAACCAGAAATGTGATGAAGACAAACATCATGCCTCAGACTCAACTTCATGGATTAGATCTGGTACTCTAAGTCCTGAACTATTTGAGAAATCATCCATAGAGAGCAATGAGAATCGTCGCCACAACCAGTGGAAGAATAGCTTTCATCCTCTGACAACTCGGTCTAATTCGATAATGGATTCTTTCTGTGTCCAGCAGTCAGAGGACTGTCTATGTGAAAAATCCAGATTGAACAGGAGTTCAGTAAGCAAAGAAGTGTTTCTTAGCCTCTCACAGCCAAGCAGTTCAGATTGGATTCAAGGTCATACCAGAAAAGAAGTGGGACAGCCTCTTGACGCAGTCAATACCTCTTTTACTGCAATACTATCTTCCCCTGATGGTGAACTTGTAGATGCAGCCTCTGAAGATTTAGAATTGTATGTTTCAAGAAACAATGATATGTTGACACCAACTCCTGATAGTTCACCAAGGTCTACTAGCTCTCCCTCGCAGTCTAAAAATGGTAGTTTCATCCTTCGAACTGCTCACATTCTGAAACCACTTATGTCCCCACCAAGTAGGGAAGAGATTATGGCAACTTTGTTGGATCATGACCTTTCAGAAACTATTTACCAGGAACCATTTTGCAGTAATCCTTCTGATGTACCAGAAAAGCCCAGGTAATCAGAATTCTTTTCCCACCTTGGGTTCCTCTAAATAATTATAACATGTGTAACTACATTTGGTACCTGACTGCTAGTTTTTTGGCTATGATACTATACTTGTAAGTATTTCATTGTGAAAATGATTTATAATTAT